ATTAGCCCAGTATAGGAGCAGAACAGTAGGACGTTAAACCCCATTTCATTTCATTTCTATATACTTGCTCGATTCCCCCTTATTGTATGGTGGCTAATTGTATGTCAGGTTGATTTCCGCTCATGTCGTCATAATATTCCGGTTCGATGAATTTCGAAAAATGTTTTTTAAGAAATGTTATTCAAGAAATTTTGTGGGGGAATGTTTTGCAAGATTTCTATTTGGAAATTTGTTGTTCAAGATTTGTTTTTGTTGTATGTCTATGATGAAATATGTCGAATTTTTTTTTTTTTGATTTTCTAAAATAAATTTTAAATATATATAAGTAAAATTAAATTAAACAAAGATACAATTTACAAATCTTTTAAGACAAATGTCTGATTTGTAAAACAAATATTGATTTTTAGGATACAAATTTTAATTCTAGTGTACAAATATCGGAATACGTTTATGATGACTCTGTGATCTTGTGTTGCAGCTCACCCAACAACTGAAAGTGCTGTTTCTACTAAATTTCCTTCTAGCACATTAACATCTAACCAGAAAGCTTCAAATTCAACCCCCAAAACAGGTAGACTGTCATTATTATACCTAGTATTAAAGTGGTTTGTAGTTTTACAGCATAATACATTGTATCTAATATATGCGCACACAATTGGGTTGGAAACTGATCCTGCCAGTCCCATGATTGTCCTCTATCCAGCCTCCTGGAATCCTCATCCAAACTTGTTTCTTCATTTGGGTGTACGCATAAGTGTTGTGTACAAGGCAAGACATACTAAACGTATTTACATAACCTTTAATCACTGATATGTTTAAGCATTTCTTACACCTTACACACGTTATTTAATGCTTATAGACAGGTCATTTTTGCATGTTATTATATATTTATGTTAAACTTGAAATATTTAGTGTCAATTACATTTTAGTTTCTGTAGCAGGCACTAAAAATGAATCTGGTCAGTATACTAATTTAGAAACATTTAAATATATATTTATGTTTCCTAACAAAATGACAAGAGTCAGAATATAATGATGTAAATACAATTAGATATACATCCTTGTTTTTTAGATGAAAACAGTCAGTTTATAATGATGCAATACAAACACATATACATTTCCCTTATCGTATATTTCATCTTAATACCTCATTTTCATTACATATTTTCAAGAAAATTGATTTTTAATATATTTTTTTTTCTTTCTTTTTGTTTAAAATTATAAAAAAAACATGTGAACATATATTGTCCGGTGTAAATTAGATATATGCAAGATTTCTATTTGGAAATTTGTTGTTCAAGATTTGTTTTTGTTGTATGTCTATGATGAAATATGTCGAATTTTCTTTTTTTTATTTTCTAAAATAAATTTTAAATTTATATAAGTAAAATTGAATTAAACAAAGATACAATTTACAAATCTTTTAAGACAAATGTCTGATTTGTAAAACAAATATTGATTTTTAGGATACAAATTTTAATTCTAGTGTACAAATGTCGGAATACGTTTATGATGACTCTGTGATCTTGTGTTGCAGCTCACCCAACAACTGAAAGTGCTGTTTCTACTAAATTTCCTTCTAGCACATTAACATCTAACCAGAAAGCTTCAAATTCAACCCCCAAAACAGGTAGACTGTCATTATTATACCTAGTGTTATAGTGGTTTGTAGTTTTACAGCATGATACATTGTATCATATATTTAATATATGCGCACACAATTGGGTTGGAAACTGATCCTGTCAGTCCCATGATTGTCCTCTATCCAGCCTCCTGGAATCCTAATCCAAACTTTTTCTTTATTTGGGTGTACGCATAAGTGTTGTGTACACGGCAAAAAATACTAAACGTATTTACATAACCTTTAATCACTGATATGTTTAAGCATTTCTTACACCTTACACGCGTTATTTAATGCTTATAGACAGGTCATTTTTGCATGTTATTATATATTTATGTTAAACTTGAAATATTTAGTGTCAATTACATTTTAGTTTCTGTAGCAGGCACTAAAAATGAATCTGGTCAGTATACTAATTTAGAAACATTTAAATATATATTTATGTTTCCTAACAAAATGACAAGAGTCAGAATATAATGATGTAAATACAATTAGATATACATCCTTGTTTTTTTAGATGAAAACAGTCAGTTTATAAATGATGCAATACAAACACATATACATTTCCCTTATCGTATATTTCATCTTAATACCTCATTTTCATTACATATTTTCAAGAAAATTGATTTTTAATATATTTTTTTTCTTTCTTTTTGTTTAAAATTATAAAAAAACATGTGAACATATATTGTCCGGTGTAAATTAGATATATGCAAGATTTCTATTTGGAAATTTGTTGTTCAAGATTTGTTTTTGTTGTATGTCTATGATGAAATATGTCGAATTTTTTTTTTTGATTTTCTAAAATAAATTTTAAATTTATATAAGTAAAATTGAATTAAACAAAGATACAATTTACAAATCTTTTAAGACAAATGTCTGATTTGTAAAACAAATATTGATTTTTAGGATACAAATTTTAATTCTAGTGTACAAATGTCGGAATACGTTTATGATGACTCTGTGATCTTGTGTTGCAGCTCACCCAACAACTGAAAGTGCTGTTTCTACTAAATTTCCTTCTAGCACATTAACATCTAACCAGAAAGCTTCAAATTCAACCCCCAAAACAGGTAGACTGTCATTATTATACCTAGTATTAAAGTGGTTTGTAGTTTTACAGCATAATACATTGTATCTAATATATGCGCACACAATTGGGTTGGAAACTGATCCTGCCAGTCCCATGATTGTCCTCTATCCAGCCTCCTGGAATCCTCATCCAAACTTTTTTCTTCATTTGGGTGTACGCATAAGTGTTGTGTACAAGGCAAGACATACTAAACGTATTTACATAACCTTTAATCACTGATATGTTTAAGCATTTCTTACACCTTACACGCGTTATTTAATGCTTATAGACAGGTCATTTTTGCATGTTATTATATATTTATGTTAAACTTGAAATATTTAGTGTCAATTACATTTTAGTTTCTGTAGCAGGCACTAAAAATGAATCTGGTCAGTATACTAATTTAGAAACTTTTAAATATATATTTATGTTTCCTAACAAAATGACAAGAGTCAGAATATAATGATGTAAATACAATTAGATATACATCCTTGTTTTTTTTAGATGAAAACAGTCAGTTTATAATGATGCAATACAAACACATATACATTTCCCTTATCGTATATTTCATCTTAATACCTCATTTTCATTACATATTTTCAAGAAAATTGATTTTTAATATATTTTTTTCTTTCTTTTTGTTTAAAATTATAAAAAACATGTGAACATATATTGTCCGGTGTAAATTAGATATATGCAAGATTTCTATTTGGAAATTTGTTGTTCAAGATTTGTTTTTGTTGTATGTCTATGATGAAATATGTCGATTTTTTTTTTTGATTTTCTAAAATAAATTTTAAATATATATAAGTAAAATTAAATTAAACAAAGATACAATTTACAAATCTTTTAAGACAAATGTCTGATTTGTAAAACAAATATTGATTTTTAGGATACAAATTTTAATTTTCAAGAAAATTGATTTTTAATATATTTTTTTTTCTTTCTTTTTGTTTAAAATTATAAAAAAAACATGTGAACATATATTGTCCGGTGTAAATTAGATATATGCAAGATTTCTATTTGGAAATTTGTTGTTCAAGATTTGTTTTTGTTGTATGTCTATGATGAAATATGTCGAATTATTTTTTTTGATTTTCTAAAATAAATTTTAAATTTGTATAAGTAAAATTGAATTAAACAAAGATACAATTTACAAATCTTTTAAGACAAATGTCTGATTTGTAAAACAAATATTGATTTTTAGGATACAAATTTTAATTCTAGTGTACAAATGTCGGAATACGTTTATGATGACTCTGTGATCTTGTGTTGCAGCTCACCCAACAACTGAAAGTGCTGTTTCTACTAAATTTCCTTCTAGCACATTAACATCTAACCAGAAAGCTTCAAATTCAACCCCCAAAACAGGTAGACTGTCATTATTATACCTAGTGTTATAGTGGTTTGTAGTTTTACAGCATAATACATTGTATCTAATATATGCGCACACAATTGGGTTGGAAACTGATCCTGCCAGTCCCATGATTGTCCTCTATCCAGCCTCCTGGAATCCTAATCCAAACTTTTTTCTTCATTTGGGTGTACGCATAAGTGTTGTGTACAAGGCAAGAAATACTAAACGTATTTACATAACCTTTAATCACTGATATGTTTAAGCATTTCTTACACCTTACACGCGTTATTTAATGCTTATAGACAGGTCATTTTTGCATGTTATTATATATTTATGTTAAACTTGAAATATTTAGTGTCAATTACATTTTAGTTTCTGTAGCAGGCACTAAAAATGAATCTGGTCAGTATACTAATTTAGAAACATTTAAATATATATTTATGTTTCCTAACAAAATGACAAGAGTCAGAATATAATGATGTAAATACAATTAGATATACATCCTTGTTTTTTTTTTAGATGAAAACAGTTAGTTTATAATGATGCAATACAAACACATATACATTTCCCTTATCGTATATTTCATCTTAATACCTCATTTTTATTACATATTTTCAAGAAAATTGATTTTTAATATATTTTTTTTCTTTCTTTTTGTTTAAAATTATAAAAAAACATGTGAACATATATTGTCCGGTGTAAATTAGATATATGCAAGATTTCTATTTGGAAATTTGTTGTTCAAGATTTGTTTTTGTTGTATGTCTATGATGAAATATGTCGAATTTTTTTTTTTTGATTTTCTAAAATAAATTTTAAATTTATATAAGTAAAATTGAATTAAACAAAGATACAATTTACAAATCTTTTAAGACAAATGTCTGATTTGTAAAACAAATATTGATTTTTAGGATACAAATTTTAATTCTAGTGTACAAATGTCGGAATACGTTTATGATGACTCTGTGATCTTGTGTTGCAGCTCACCCAACAACTGAAAGTGCTGTTTCTACTAAATTTCCTTCTAGCACATTAACATCTAACCAGAAAGCTTCAAATTCAACCCCCAAAACAGGTAGACTGTCATTATTATACCTAGTGTTATAGTGGTTTGTAGTTTTACAGCATGATACATTGTATCATATATTTAATATATGCGCACACAATTGGGTTGGAAACTGATCCTGTCAGTCCCATGATTGTCCTCTATCCAGCCTCCTGGAATCCTCATCCAAACTTGTTTCTTCATTTGGGTGTACGCATAAGTGTTGTGTACAAGGCAAGACATACTAAACGTATTTACATAACCTTTAATCACTGATATGTTTAAGCATTTCTTACACCTTACACACGTTATTTAATGCTTATAGACAGGTCATTTTTGCATGTTATTATATATTTATGTTAAACTTGAAATATTTAGTGTCAATTACATTTTAGTTTCTGTAGCAGGCACTAAAAATGAATCTGGTCAGTGTACTAATTTAGAAACATTTAAATATATATTTATGTTTCCTAACAAAATGACAAGAGTCAGAATATAATGATGTAAATACAATTAGATATACATCCTTGTTTCTTTTAGATGAAAACAGTCAGTTTATAATGATGCAATACAAACACATATACATTTCCCTTATCGTATATTTCATCTTAATACCTCATTTTCATTACATATTTTCAAGAAAATTGATTTTTAATATATTTTTTTTTCTTTCTTTTTGTTTAAAATTATAAAAAAAATGTGAACATATATTGTCGGGTGTAAATTAGATATATGCTTATTAAATCGATACAGATGTTAACGGCAAATATAGGGTTCATAACGTATACCTAATATGTAACACTGCTTGAATGAATCAGTAAAATGAAAACGCGATGCGCCTTCATCGGGGTGTTCTTCTGAATACTCTTTTATTAGTGCTGTTCTGATTTGATGGCAATCTGGTCATCGTTTCCATGGTCGGTTTCGAACTGATATCGCAATCTTGTATAACCGTTTGTCAACCTCAGAGAAGTTGCCCCCCCCCCCACTACCTCAGTTGTAACAACAACTGCATTCTTGTATTTTAGTCATTGCTGTATTCTTTGGAGAGAAGGAATTGGTGAGATAAAAACCACGGAAAAATACGTGTGCGGGGGTTAATCTGAGAATTTACTTAGGCTTCGATATTAATGATAACTGGACAGCTATTTAGAGACATCATCGCTTTTTATATGCAATGAATTCTAACCTGACAACGCCTCCGTCGCTAGGTAGCTCAACAGAAAAGTCACCTGACACAAACATGACTGGTTTTAATAGATTTGCTATAGCTCGGGTTATTTCCTCTCGAATACAATATTTTGGGAGTAATTTCAAGCAACAAATTTTAGATAGATTAATTAGTTTTAATATGTTTTTAGCCCAAATATATTATCAAATTAACCAGTTTGTACGTGGGAATATAGCTACAGTATATTTTACTCCTTTTTGTATTTCTCCCTCTAGCTACAGATGTCGGAGGTATTGTTGGTGGTATAGTCGGTGTTATATTAGTTATTGCTATTGTCTGTGGTGTCATATTCTTTATTAAAAGGTGAGTTGTATATCATGTACAAGAAATGCACCAATTTATCGGTAATAAAATTCATTAAGTAAAAGAGAAATGTAACACTTTGGGAAAAATCAATTAAGGCCTCCAAGTATACTTTAAACATGGTGTTAATTACACCACCGATAATATATAGATCCGAGACTTTGCATTATTTTGTTTGAAAGACAGTGTGCTCATCAATTAAAACAAGATTCTAGCTGTGATGGATTTTTTGGATTCATGCAAAATTTGTTCAATTGAAGATGTTCAATAAATGATAATCTTTCTCAGATTAATACAGAATCAATTACATTCTGGGTTAAATTCATTACACTAGAGGTATCAAAACATATGGACCTCATTCCTAGATTACTATGTTAATTACCAGCATCTATTGGTTGGCATTTATTCATTTTAGGCGAAAAGCAAATAAAAAAACATCAAAGGATATTGCTGTCAATCAAAATGGTTCTAATCGACGATATCAAACTGACACGACACTCCCTCGAACATCCCCCGTTTATTATGAACTAGAGAAAACCACGACTCCGGTTTATTATGAACTGGAGAAGGACACCTATAACAGTAGACCAACTAGTGTTAAACCGAGCTCTGGCGATAATTATGATTATATAGGGGGAGATAATCATGTTAAACATTCGACCGGAAATGACAATTACAACCATATTGGAATCAGCGGTGTTACGTCAGACGATGAATATCATCATCTGAAGGGACCTAACTCTAACAAGCCAAGTGTTCCAGATAGTAATTATGATCATATTGGTTCATTTAGTGTAGCTGAGGATAATTACCAACATATCGGAGACAACAAATCTCGGATTATTACTGAAGATACGTATAATCACATTGGTGGACACGATAACACTGGTCTGGACGGTGATGACTACCAGCATATCGGTGGTAGCTATAAACATCAAGTTGTAACGGACGGTACATACAATCATATTGGAAGTGATCATAAGGAAATACTGGGTAATGATAACTACCATCATATCGGAAACAGAAATACACAACCAATTCTAACAGATGGGGAATATTCTCATATTGGAGGTGCTGACGCGTAAGGAGAATATTATTCGTTGACTAAAATATATTTAATATCCAGGATGTTAATGACAGTTGTATTTGTGTTCACTAAACGATTATATTATTCCACATTATGTAGCCTTATAAACACATGGATAATACACAATGTTCACTGTTCACAGTGTAAACCTCGAATATATAATGTGGAATAACATATTGGAGTATAAATCTAACATCAGTGACCTTTCATTTGGGATAATGTTAGATTGTAATTACGTGTTCTTCGTAGAGCTCATAAAGTAAATCTTCTTAACTGGGCCATTCGATACAGAGCAGTAGGACGTTAAACACAATTTCAACCATCCAAGTAACTTAGCAACAACCAATAGTAATATGTTCTAGAATTGGTTCGAGAATTATACCCTGTCTTGTAAGCGACAGCGGTTGATTCGTGAAGTATATGTTTAGAAAATATATTTCCTACTTTAAATAGGACAAAATATTCTACTTACCCATATTGATAAATAAAAGTTGAAATTGCTATGTGCTATAAGCTACAATGTGATATCGTGTTAGTAATTAGTAAATACATGTTTATATATTAAACATATTTTATTTTCCCAATTATAAACCTTAAACCCTAAATAACTTTATAATGACCTGTTTATAAACAGTAAATATTGTGATAAAGTGTTCTATAACTTCCATGAAATCGAATGATCATTTGGGTGCATATAACTTATTGACACCAGCTGGTTTTGATAATAGATGATATCGACTGTTCAAACTATACACTTTGTACGCATTAATTCAAGACTATCAATTTCAAATGTAGATATTCATATCAGTCAGTGAATTTAAGATAACTCGTAAATGCCATATATAGTTATGATCTCGTGTGTTTAGACCCAGTTGAAAGGTATATAACCACCAGTTTTCTGGTACACAAAAAACGCAGCCGCGAGACAAGCGGGGGGGGGGGGAGCAGAGAGCGGCGAATGGTCTCACTATATTAATGTACCGTTTTGGTGTTTAATTTATGTTTTTGGTGTAGTTTAGTTTCTGTTGTAATTATGTAGCTATTTTATATATGGTTCCTGATGTGTATAAGATGTATATTTACCAAATTGATCTCTGTTATCACTAAAATGGTGTTACAATAATGTGTTCCTTTTATAATTAAGCTGTTTATACATTGTAGACAATGTTTATTTATAATTGAGCTGTTTATAGACTCTCGAAATTTTATATTTAAGCTGTTTATAAACTCTTTATATGCTATCTTTTTAAAGAGTTGTTTATATGTTGATCAAGACTCTGATTTATTTAATTTAAATATATGTATAGTTAAACTGTTTATAAAACCTAAACATGCTTATAACCAAACTGTTGTTAAAATGCAGTTTAGTAATACATTAATTATAAATCAAACAGTAACCATTGTTAAAATCATTCTTTGTTTTCCTTGTTTATTTTGTTCTGCTATTCTGTATATAAATGTCTGTATCTCTACACTGGGAATCACTGCTTGATGAAGATCAGCCAACCCTAGTTGAGACGTCGCTGTATTTAAAAGTTAACTGTTATCTCGTTTATTTATTTTATTTATTTTTAATGAAGCTGTTTATAAACGCTAAATATGTTGTATTTATAATGAAACTCTGTAGCAACCATTTTTGCAATAACAATGATTTTTGCAATAAAATTAAATTATTGCAATAATTTCTTCTTTTGTCATTTAAAGCGCCCCAAGGAAACTAATTTCCTTTTGCTTAATAAAATTTAAATTGTCGAATATGTTTGATCTGAATATCTGAGTAATATTTCCGTTCAGTATTCAGTATTTACCAATGACTTGAGAGTCAAGTATTGTAAGCCTTGCTTTAAAAGAGACCGAGAATGGTCTAAATATCTTGTTGGCTTCTTGAAAACTTCATGTGATCAAAACAATGGATGTTGCAATGTCATTTTTAAATATTTCCGATGGAAAACCCAAAATAGCTGAGCTAATGATCAAAGCATGGTTAAACGGACAATAAACCCCCTTTAAATTCGATACAGGATGTTTGTATCTGAAATGACGAATATTATAATTTTATCCTAGTACACGTTTATTTTAACTCATAAAGTCGAGTGTTGTTAAAGGTGGGGTTAAAGGTCAAGTTGTATCTGACATTGATACCACTGTTATATTTATCACACAAACTTTCCTCGATGTTATTATCAGAATATTACTGAATAAAATATGCTGTATTAAATAAAACAACTAGCTTGGGCAGAGTGAATTGAACATAACTATATGGAAACATTAATAAAAATTAGACTTCAAGTTGTATTTACTGACGGGATAATGACTGTACATCCTAATTACTCCATTAAGATCAATGCCAAATAATATATTTCCAGAATGTCTTTTGAAGCTTCACATGTGTATGTTTATGTGCCTCCATTTTTGAGTGGATGTTTATTGTCGTTGCCCCTGTCTTTCCGGACGTCCGTCCACAGTAATCTAAAAGCAATATTAAATTTCTTTGAGACCAGACATGTGCATTTTTAAACGGCCCCATTTTTATCTGGACGTATACTGTAATTGTCCGTGTCATTTCACAGTATAAAATTTGTTTTTAGATCCTGGACTTTCTAAAGGTTACAAATTGTATCCGAGTGTGATGAAACTTAAAATGTATCTTTACAGCCCAAACATCGCGGTTCCTGTCGAGATTCGCGCATATCGGTCTGTAACTTTCTGGATTAGAACGTGTTTAGCTTGTGGTCTCTCTGGAGGTCACAATTTTATTGGATTTTGAAATCCTTTAAACATACAAATACGATTGAGTTCGAATTTCATGAATATCGGACAAACACTGCCCGACAACTGCCCCTCTTACGCAAGTAAAAGAACGTAATACCAAGGTTGTGGATTCTCTAAAGGTCCCAGTGTTTATCCGATTTTGATGAATCTTAAAGCTTGTGGTCTCTCTGGAGGTCACAATTTTATTGGATTTTGAAATCCTTTAAACATACAAATACGATTGAGTTCGAATTTCATGAATATCGGACAAACACTGCCCGACCACTGCTCCTCTTGCACAAATAGTGTAAAAGAACGTAATACCAAGGTTCTGGATTCTCTAAAGGTCCCAATGTTTATCCGATTTTGATGAAACTTAAAATATATTTTTATATCTAGAGGATCTCGGTTGCTTTCCATATTCGCAAATATTAGACTGTAACTTCGCGTATTATGGACAATGATTGTTTAAAGAAAATGCCTTTGTAGCTTGTGGGTGGACCATCTCTAATATAGAGGTCACAATGTTTATCTTATTTTAAAAAAGATTTCAAATATAATATCACCGCTACACCCGGGACTGTCCGGCAAAATGACCGCTCCTCTTAAGAAAATAATGTAAAAGTATGTAATACCAATGTTGCTGACGCTGTAGAGGTCCTTTGTTTTCCGATTTTGACGATACTTAACATATATGTTTTTATCCCAAAGATAATTTTCTCTTATTGTGTCGACGCTGCAGTAAACCGCCCCTGTTGAGATAAATAATTTGAGTACAAACACTATATCCTCGATGGCATCTAGCAGACACAGGACATATTTTTTTTCGCTTATTTCAAAACATAAAAAATGAGTTGACAACCCTAACCCTATTAAAATATCGTGACGTTATAATCGTTGTTTCAAATTCATGTAACCCAAAGAAGATTAACTATGCATCAACACCATCTCTTTTTACGGTAATCTAATACTTTTAATAGAAAATGTTTTAATCCGTGTCATTGTAACCGACGACAGTATCAGTCATATCCATGTAATGTTTTGAGGAGATGTGAAACTTAGTTACAATCAACACAAAAATATTTCTAGTGTTTTTCTCCTACATAGAGTCTTTCTTCTGTATCACTAAAATACAGATAAATTTGACAACTTTGATAGGAGAGAAATGGATTTTATAACCGGCTGTGTGGGGACTGACATGTTTATTTGTCCAGTAAGAGCAGAACAGTACCGGTGGGGGGGGGGGTAGCATCGGTTGTGTCGGGGTTAACATGTGGTATCTTAATGTAAAAGTCTACTTTTAATATGAGGAAACCCTAGTCTACACATTGCCACATGGAAGGGTAATACCCTGGATCTGCAAACATGAAATGAAACGGGATTCAATGCCCCTTCTATGCATCAGCGAAGATGGACATAAGCAATATAGTAGCTTCGTTGGAATCCTTCCAGGAAAGAGGTGTTTGCGTTCTACCTTTTGCCAGGGTTTAGTTTACGTACACATCAACCTAACACGTGACCTTGACTTTTCATAGTTGTTTGCGGCTTCAAACCCTCTACCACTCAAGACATTGCAAATCCGAGTGTGGGCACATTATTATACCCCGTTCCCTCTAAATGTAATTCTGATTTTTAAGACAGCTACAAATCTTAATGGACATCACTCCAAATATATCGAGGTTTACACAAAAATTAACTGTTAAAATACACCGGTAATGTTTATATTCATATACGATAAAGTAAGGCAAAAATAAATGATATTGATATAAAGATACGAATCTGTTATATTATATTATAGGGTACTATATTATAAAATACTGTTATAATGATACTGATATAAAGGTACAAAACTGTTATATTACATTAGTATTAGTGTAAGTTTATACTATATTATAAAATACTGTTATAATGATACTGATATAAAGGTACAGAACTGTTATATTACATCGGTATAGTGGTTATACACTACGTCTATATAAAACAAAATGAAACCTAGGTTAAACATCACCATCACCTGGATGTTTGTTTATAGATTTACTAATAAAAAGATACAATACTAAATTATACAACACTGTTATATAAGACTTTACATAGTTCTTTATACAAATAAAACAAAACAAAACACCATCATCACTTGGATGCTAATAGTTGATAGATCTAGATTGTTATGTATTGATGCGTCTGCGATTATACAGATTGTGGCGTGATATCAATGAAACATGATTATGATAAGGCTGCTCTGCTTTAATTAATTTTGTGTTTTGACACTTCTTTTAATTCTGTGTTTGCAAATATATATTAGTCTGGGATATTCAGCCTTTAATATGAGAGGTTTGGATGATTGGATTTATTCTCTATCGTCATCATCATCATCATTCATTACATTATATAATTAATTGTAATCACATTACTTTCTACTGGGCGAAGTTATGGATGTTTTAAGTTTTGTCCAAAATAAAAAGTCATATTAATCGCTCGCGAATGTCAAATAGTATTGACGTGATAATAAACAATTTGTCGATGTTCACGTTTAACGATTGATTGTCTACATACTAATTTATATAATATTTGAAGGCATAAAATTAAAGAGACAATACCAGTTAAAGAGACACTAGTAATGTCATTTGCCAGTAGGTTAACAAAATATATGTATTGTTAATTGGATTGAAAGATAACATTCGTATTACAACTACAAAATATTATATACGCGTATTTACAACTACAATTTTTTTTACATTGGTGAACTTCTCAAAAGGTAGTTTAGATAAAAGTAAACATATTCTGTCTCGCACAAAACATCAGTCTCATGTCTTATCCTTCGTGCAAGTGGTTGTATGTGTCGTTATCTTCAGAGTTATCGTTCATTGCATCAGGTCTTGTGATATCTTCCATGATATCAAGACTTACGTCAGATTTTTTATGAGCTGGTGAGTCATGCAAATGGTTGTATGTATCATCATCGCCCAGGTTGGATGTGACGCTTGCTCCATCAATATGCCGAGTTACACCATCATCTGGAGTGTTGTTATTATCCGAATACAAATGGTTATATGTACTTTCATCTTTGATATTACAGTTGTCGCCCAATTTAATATTTTCATAATTTGCCTGTGTCGTCAAGGGAACGCTGGGGTGTTGGACAGGTGTATTGGATTGCTTCTTGTCTTTGTGAATTGGATTGTTTACTCCTATATGGTCATATGTATCACTAGCTGTTAAGTCTGGCTTGTTATCTCCTATATGGTCATACGTAACACTAGCTGTTAAGTCTAGCATGTTTTCTCTTATATGGTCATATGTGTCACCAGCATTTAAATCTGGTTTATGTTCTTTTGGTGTGTTCTCACCCTCATCAGGTTGTAAAATATGATAAACTGGGGTTTCAGGTTTACACATTTTACCAACTTCAATCGTCTCGGCAAGATCCGTAGTGACAGTTTGTGCGCTGACAGGGGTGTTATATCCAAGACCAGCACCAGTCTTTGTGATTGGTTGATCAGATGGCAGGGTTGACCTTAATCGTGGAACTACTACAGTTTCATAACTGAAGCTGGTTATTTCATCGTAAGCATCAGTCGTCTTGTCAGTTTTCATAACTCGATAATTATGCAAGGTATGTTTAACTCTACGTTTTCTAAAATTACGATGCAAAACAAAAGAAAAAAAAATATAATGAAATTGCAAATGGTGAGTTTTAATTCCAAACAAACAAGCATAAATATACAGTACCTAAAAGTTAATATTGTGTAAGACCATTAGGGACTATCAAATTACCAGATAATATTTGGTAATTTCGACACAAGTACCTCGTAACTATGACAAATTTAGTTCGTAATAACGAGGTAATTTTAAGGGTTGTCATAAATT